TTACATATGTGAGCAGTAATCGAAAAATCATCATTTTGCATTTCTTAAAATCCCCGAAGATGTGGATGAATGGTGAAATATAAATGTATAGAAAAAGAAATACATTTTGTTAACGTTGGTGTGAACATAACACGGATATAATTAAAAGATTTTTCCAAGGAAGGTTAATAAAACTGCATTCATCACATATGGTAATATGTGAAAAAGTAGCAAATCAAATTTAAAACGAGATATATAAGACCTCAGGATGATTTAGGGATCATTTAGACAGATTTCGATGAAAAGTATTACACAATTAAGAATTATACAAGTAATTAAAAAAGTGGCAAAAAGTGGACTTCTTATATAAAGTGGTTTTGCTTACCAAAATCTTATATATTGCTTAAACTGTATTCAGTTATCAATCAATATACTCAATGGACGATTAGGATTACTTTTTTAGAGTCTTGAGGGATGATTAGGACGATTGAAGCTTTCGGATTACTAACGAAGGTATGGTAACAGAAAGTATCGATACTTATAAATGCATGGATTGACATTTATCACATAAGGGAGTAAAGGTTTTTCCATAACCAACTCCAGAATAAAACAAAAGAAAGAAAACTTCAATTAAGAATAGACGATTACAGCGAAATTACCATAATCTCGCCCACATAAGGGAGTAAAGATTTTACCGTAACCAACTTCAGAGTAAAACAAAAACATAAGGGAAAGGAAAAAAATTTGCAGGAAAGCTGAGTCCATTTATATACACAATAAAAATAAATTCTTTAGTAGTAGTAGTAGTTCTAGCCTTTTTTACTTCATTTTAAATTTGTTGTATTACTTAGATATTTATAACAATTATAAATAAACAATAAATATAAACAATAAATTCGTTATAAATTCAATTTAAATCAATGCTGAACTTAATTATAGCAAATTATTTGAAATTTATTTAAGGCAGACCGAACTTCGTCTGAAATATGGTAAGAACGAAGCTGTATCCATTCTCAGTAGCAATCCAACGTATACATTTATTTAATTAATTGTGTTTAGGATATCTTAGTACTAAGCCATTAAGACAGGAGTCGTATCTCACAAATCCGTACATTCAACGATAGATCCAAATAGCCAAACAAGTTGGATATCCTAATCACAGCTATATCAGATTTGTTATGAAGCAAAATATTCTAATCACAGCTATATTAGATTTATTTTGATTACAAAAAGTAGAAAATATGTTTACATTCATTTACCAAAATACATAAAAATAAATTATATTTGTACACTACACACATATATACAACACATTTTCATAATTAACTACTACTTGCTTTTTCGCAGTGAGTAAAGGTTCTTGACAATAAGGATTCAGGATTGAGTATAACAATATTTCGCTCAGTGATTGTTATTGCTTTTTTACCAATGCGGTCTATACAAGTCTTAAATAAAGTGTAGGCTTGAAGGATTTAAATTTTTGCTTCCGTATTGCACCAGAACAAGTGCCGAAGTATGTAAAAGTTCTTGTATATATTAAAGTGTTGAGCTCATACATATATCCTTTTATTTTTCGAATGGAAATGCAAAAGTATTGCTTCCGGCGTTTTCAATATTCAACTCTGACTTGTTTTGTTATTTGAAGAATTGAAATGCTTACAAAATATATTTCTATACAATAGAGCATTTTCAAGTAATGTTAATGTGCATGTAATGGAACATGTAGGTCTCCTTCCACAATATGACTGCTCTTTTATGGTATATAATAATTTCATTTAAAAAATATTTCATTTTTGAGTGCAAACCGATAAAAAGACTGAAAAACATACTTCTACGTCTACAACAAAGAATATTTATGCATTTGAGTGGCAATATGACTGCATTACCCGTACTTTTATGAACTACTCTCGTATACTTGTGGTCTGTAGAGTCTAAGTCTGCGTAAAGCGCAACAACCTTAAGCAAAAGGCGATTACTTCGATTGTTCTTTTCATATTCTTTACGTATATAATGTGAATATATTGTAGTGTATTATGTTTTTTAAGATTTTAGTAATGCATTTAAGGTGAGATGTACATGAGTAGTATATGAGTATTATAATATAGTTTTGGTCAGTTTAACAGGGAGGATCGATCCAACTACCTATTTACTTAACTGTATATTTTAACATACTTTAAGTTTTTGAGGTAGAAGTAAGAATTGTACACTTCCTAACTATAGATTCTTAATATTTCATAAAAATGATCAAATAAAGTTCATAAACTATGTATCTAGGTTAGATTGCCAGACAAAAATCGCCATGTGTAGACCACTAAGGTCCATTGTGATACCATATTAGAGTCTTAATTTTTTAAAGATAGTGTGCATCGCTTAGGTTGCGCGTATTATTAGCGAATTTTTTTAGGATTTCAACAGCAACCTCAGGTATGTGGTCCAGTCCGGTAAAACTGACAGCCCATAAGTATTTTTGCGAGCTCTTGAGCGAGCCGGTCAGTTACACAGCGAATGCTCCAGGGTTTCTTTTGCATATGGCTCGTTGCATTTTCTACAAGCATTGCTGCGAATTAAGTTTGGTTTGTGCATATGTGATGCGACAGACAGTGACCTGTCAATACACCAATTAATGTTCTACAGTTCCTTCCTATGAATTTAAATAGCTTGGATTTTTTTTATTGTTTGTGAAGTTATTTAGTTGATATTAGATACGAAATAAATTTGAATATTATTTTTAATAATATTTTAATAATATATTCAGATTTTAATATCTGAATATATGTAGAATTTTCATTGTATTAGTTAGTATATAAACTGTCAACATAGATACTTGCATCTGGAAACTATCCTTACTTACAAACATATACAATATTAAACAAATTTGGAACTTGTATTACCCCTATGATATACAATATGCTATAATTGAAAGTTTAAGCGATATTCGATTACTTCAATAATGTACATGTATACCAGGTGCATTCTAAAGTTAATAGAACTATAAAAATATTGGCAAGTACACATAGTGAGTTCATCTTTTGGCATGCTTTGTTAGTTCCTTTAAATAAGTACTGTCAAAATTATATGACATTTTAACAAAAATTGTAATAATACCCAGTTTATCACGTTTTTCGTAGTAATTTTCGTAATAAACAACAACTATTATACAACATAATATCTCAACAACTCTTCTGTTGAGGTAACGATACAAATTTTTTGAATGGCTTTGTAGCCATAAAAGGTTTTGTGTCTATACAACATTTCGCGTTCATCAGCAAATGTAATATTCTCATAGACCTAAATATGGAGAGTGATTAAGCTTTCGACACATATATTTCAACTAGTCATTTATTTTAAAAGCACTGTTTACTTAGGTCTAAACACTTTTTATATTGATGTGTTGCGTCAATTTTTTCAAAAATTGAACATTTACAGTTTCTTATATAATATATATATTATATAATATATCGAAATATTACGTTTCACCGCTTTCATTATTTTGCCGATTTTACTTAACTAAAAGAACAATGGGAGATACCAGAGACAAGTATGGACCTATCACAAGAAAAACTTAGAATCATCACAGGAATCCTAGCAGGGCACTGTTAACTAAAATACCGCCTTACGAGACTGGGTATATATACGGATGCAAACTGTAGATTCTGTGTAGAGAATGAGGAGTCAGCCAAGGATGCCCTGAGCTACGGATGCACAAACGGAATAGACTTCTGGGAATCTATACCCTTACGGAAGAGGCAATAAAACACTATAAATTTGATTCTATATTACTTTTTATTGACGCAACAGGGTTTATAAACCTACTCTATACCCAGATGGGGGCACAATAGATCCAAAGGTCGTAGTTCCAAGTCCCATAACATAAATACCTAACTAAAAACTATGGAAAAATGTAATGGCAATCACAATACAAGCTTTATTAAAAATTATTTGTCGTTCTGTGTAGTACAGATCAGTGGCGTAACTACAGGGAAGCAACTGGAAGCAACGCTTTCGGGCCCCCGAATTTAGGGGGCCCCACTATAAATTTTTGTATTCATTGTATTTCTTTTTAATAAATTCTCAAAAGTGGGACGAAACGTTTTTTGTTGGAATAACTTCATATTGCATTTTATAAAAGATACGTAAATTTTAAATTTAAAGTACATAATATGTAAGTACTTCAAATAAAATATTAAACCTATTTATAAAATAAAAAAGTTTTTCTAAGAAAAATATGTGTCTTGATCGAGAGTTTATATGGAAGCTATATCTAAATTTAAACCCATTTGAAAATAATTTTGTACGTTGTCTTTTGCAAATATCAGTACTGTATACAACATATTCCATTTGAATACCCTTATTAAAAAAGGAGAAACCTCATATCCGATTGTTAAGTTTATATCACAGCTACAAGAAATAGACGTCCAATTTCAATCAAACCAAATGGTGAACAGGGTGCGCTCCCGAAAAGTATGTGTATAAAGTTTCATTCGAAGAGTTCAAAAGCTGAGAGAGTAGTTTGAACTGTAAAAGTATACTGATATATACTTAATGGTATTTCCGAAGTTTCCTTTAATGCGTTACGAAAATCTTGACAAACCTTATATACCCTTTTTACATTTTTTCGTGTAAAGAGTATAAAAAGAGGGGCCCCTTAGTATGTTGGTAGGGGCCCCTTAGTTAAAATTTGCTTACAGGCCTAAAAAATGTAGTTACGCCACTGGTACAGATGTACCTTACAATACTTTTTTACTCTCATCTTCTTCCTTATATAATGTTTTATATACAAACTTTTTTATACATATATACTTTTATATTTTCATTGTATTTATAGATTTATGGACCAATTTAACTTAGACTGCTGACACTTCAATTGTTGAGTATCGAAAGAAATTAATTTCATATCATTATACTGCCTTATAGTTCGAATTGACTTCCTGATTGCACAGGAGTATAGTTAATTATTAGTTTGTTTTTCAAAGCAATTTAAAGACGCTTCAATGTTATGTTGTGGATTTTGCTGTGGAAACATGGGCAAACGCGACTACAAAGTTGCTACTACAGATGGTATTGAACTGGAACCGCTGGGTGGCGAAAAATCTGATAAAGAAAGGGACAAGCAAATAAATGGAGTTACTTTTGGTAAGTATATATTTTATGAAAAATTATGTTCTTAAAATTTAATAAAAAAGTATATTAACAGTTTTGTAAGTCAATTTTCTTTATGATTTTTGTCTAACTTTAGTGGATAATAAGAAAGATTTGTTATTATTATGAACTTTAAATACTTAAAATAAAAACAAATATTTATATTAATTTATATAAAAAAATTATAAAAACAATTAAATATTGTAATTTGCATTTTAAACTTGAATACTACCACTTTTTTATTCGTTTATAGAGCCAGTATTACAAGAACTATTACTTCATTTTATGTAGAGAGCTCTATTGTAGCTCACCTAATATCATCGTCTATACAATTTTTTTTACTTTTATATTTCAGCAAGAAGTGTTCGAATGCTGATATTATAAATTATTTATGAAGATTTTAATTTTTAAATTATTTTCATATTAAGTACTATTTAAAGTTATAATTATCTTGTTAAAATAATGTATGTTTATGTAATATACATAATGTATTTTAGCTTAAGATATAAATCTTTTTCGCTTATAGCTTAAACCAGGGAATTTCAACAGTGAAAAACTTAATAAGTCATCATTAAATTTATATACGATATAGCAGTTAGATTATTTCCGCTAGAAATCAGGTAGTTAGTATGTTGTTTTCATAATGTAAATAAATAAGAAATATATAAGTAATATTTTGTATAATACCATAATAATAATATTCGAAGGATAAAAATATAAAAAATGTTTTATATTAAATTTAATTTTAAAAGTCAATTATTATGAAAGAAACTATTTCATTAAATGAGACCTTCTTCTTAATAAATAGGTTTGTAAGCTCAGAGTCTATACTAACTATCCATCTGACCGGAAACCGTCCTTGACTTGTATTTTTCTAACTTGAATTTTTGTTTTTTTGTTTTGAATGTCTATTAACAGTTTCTAATGTTATATTAGAACGAAATAATAAATAAGCTGGAAAAATTGAATTAATTAATTATAGTTATAATTGTTAAATATTTAATACTATTCTTTTTGTAGAAAAATAATTCATTACATATTTAAAAAAAAAATCTTTATTATATATATAAAACTCTTAAAATTGATTTGGGCTGATGATAGGCCCTTGCAATTTTCAGCACAATTTTTATTAAATTTATATTTATTACAGGTATTATGGAACCACTTCTGTTTCTTTAGAATATGTTCTAAGATATATTTCATTTGTTTTTTAAAAGTAATTTATTATAAATTTATTATAAATTAATTGATTAAGTTATTGAGGGAATTAATATAAAAATTTATTTTGTTGAAATCAAAACTCAGTCTTAAATAAACTTTTTCCCTATTTCACAATATATCACACATGATTATCAGCTTAGCATAGAAGTTTAACAATTTGCAGAATATATGTCAATAAAAGCGTAGAAGGATACTTGAAAATACAAGGACCGCCATATAAAAAAAAACAATCATGTCAACTGCTTGTCAACGTAAAATCAAAAAAATATGCAACGACGGTGATAATTGCAATATGACGTTACTTACAAGGCTACACGTATATTGTACTTACATTTACATTTATGTGTACTCTTTGGATGAAGGAGTTCTGCACTTTACATATATTGCGGCTGGAGGGAATAAGAAAATGAAAATATGCCTCAAGTCGAGTACTCTTTGGAATTTTTTTTGCTCACTAGCTTATGGATGCTTTTACAACAAGTGAAAGTTAAGGAGTTTGAAGTAAATGTAGGTCTCTGGGTCATAGAACTTAATAATAAACATTCTAAGCAGGAGGGAAATGGAATGAAAAAATTATATACGTGCAACACTGTTGCGGACTCAGCTACTGTAAAAATTTCAATTGCAGCCATTAAAACGGATGTCACAAACAAAGTTATCCGCTTACAAAGACTGTGCTTCAGCCATAAGTACGAGTACGTCATACAATGATTTAAAAATGCTGAGCATATTGAGTATCTCCATGTCAGGAGTTTGCGTTAAATAATGTGCTTTCAAGTATACTTTTACATTTGCATGTGGTGCATACAAGTGGCTTAGATAATTCTGCTACATGCTTACCCAGCAACTCATGTAAACTGGAATGAAATATCGATTATGATGTTAATGAGAATAGACATATATAATTGCTTTTTAATTAATAATATTATATATTTTATGTGTTGAATATAGAAATTGCAATTTAAATTAATGTGTCAACTATTGATGATGAGGACACTGCACTAGTTATTGTTTCTAAATGATTCATATTGTTTTTAGAATATAGCGATTTTGTTCTCATTACTTACTTTACAATTTACCATTTTTATTATGGAGGATACAAATGCTAATTGGATGCTCAGACAACATCGTTTGGATAACGATATTTCTCATAAAATTACTTCAGTGATGAGATTAAGAAACTTCATTAGTGGACATGTGTTTACAAAAGTTTCTCTCGTCAGGTTAAAAAAAGATTTATAAGTAAAAAATTTATAAATAGATGGGATAAACAAATTGTCAATTCTTTTCACTACGGCCACAATTTTACGGATACGGAAGCTACATTGTTTCAGCATGATGATGTTCCAAAGTTAAAAAAAATTTCCTGTTTTAGCTATATTGTTCGCGAAATTTCCCGGTCGTGTTCTTACACGTTTTGATGATTTGAATTGTCCCAAATCCTTTGCTATGTCCTTACTGGACTTTTTTTTGTGGTATGAGTATTAAGCAAATGATAGTATTTATGCGTCTTGAACCTTCGTCAAGTTGGCCGAGCTATTGTCGGCTAATTATTATAATATTAGTTTTGTTCTGTTAATTTTGAAAATAATTTCGTCCTAAGGACGTGCCTTTCGGAAGGATTTATCTGTGCTCTCAGTCTCAATGCTTAGTCTTTCTGTGCTTTTCAAAATCTATGCCTCCTCATTACTATAGCGGACATGTTTTAGAATGCCATCTATTTGTTCTCAAAATATAGCGTATGCCGCACAAGGTTTTCAGCTATAGGAATCTCTTCAAGAACAGTACTTAGGCTATGAATCACAATGCAGCATCTTCTACATTCAAATAGTAAGTGATATTCGTTCTCAGTAATTTCGTTTCTGCAATATGTGCAGTATTGGAAGAATTTCAATGCATAATTGAAATTATTTTTAGAAGTAATTATTTTATTAATCCATTTATGATTTGCATTTATAGAAACTGAAGAGCTAATGCAATGGAATATAGTTTCGCTCAACATAAATACTTTTTACATTATAATAGTAACTTTTTTAATTGTAGACTGGTTTGCTTGTGCATATACCATACATGCCCATACCTTTGTTATCAACCAATTATATGTAGAGAGGACTAATCCATGTGCGTTCTTTACATTAAGAAATAAAAGTGGGTGTAGCGAAGTCGACAACTCTTCCATTGGAACCTAATTATACCTTAATTATTAAATATGATATAGTCTATAATTTTGTGTAATCAAATACGAAATATAGAAATGCAATATAGATATTCTTTAACCAGTCTTTGGTCGCTGTTTATAGCTCTATTTAGACTATCATTGTTGGGACATTCTAACTTGCTTTATTTTAGAATAAATAAGGCTCAACCTTGCTAGCATTCCATAAACACCGAATCATGAGCTAAAAAGAATTTTGTTTTCAAATTCAACCAAGTAGTTGTATAAATGAAAGAAAACTAGTTCAGATTATTATATTTATAAGAAAACTATAGGATATAGTACATGATTTTTATCATTCCAACAAAAGAAAGAACTTTAAATCGTTCTCGTTGTCATTTTTATAAATATTTTGTATTGATGTAGTATGTGTACTATACATTGTATATACTATACATTATTTATACTATACTATACATTGTATATACAGTAAAACGTGTATTGTGACATTGATTGTGACTGAGTTGATTAAAAATGTGTGTGGTTTGAAGTATATCCCAATTTTAAAGTCTTCTTCAGTAAACTTAATATACTTTTTTTCACGCTATGTGTGTAAGGGATATAAAAATTAACGTTTGGGTATTGTTACACAAATTATAATTCTTTTATTCGTTGCCTTTACTATTAGTACTACCTCTATCGTTATTTAATTTTGCCACCACCGTAATAGAGCTTTCTTTTGGATTTACAAGTGCTTAGTTAAGGTCACAGCACAACATTTTCATTTTATCGATTATTTTAAGTGACAATAATTACTTTCATGTTTCGCTTATCTTTAAGATTCTTTGTATTTCATTTAAGTTGATTTTGCACGTTTCTCCTATTAAAATATTTTCTTAAATTTCATTACTTTCTTTATTAAAATATATAGAATGCATTATCGATCAAAGTTGTTTGAATAGAAAAGTATGTATAAAATTTGTACTTGTACTACGGATTTAATGAGGTTTGACACCAACCGTAGTTATTCGCCCTAAGAAATTTGTCAAAAATAAGGGCAGATTTCACTACAAAAATGGAATGGAATTAACAGTTTTTGGATGTATAAAATCATAAACATCAAAAAATCAAAAATTCAAAAAACCAAACTAAGAATTAAACGGTTGAAATATATTATATATATTTAGGTATCTTATTCAGTTGGAAAATAGTGAAAAATTTTTAAGAAATAAAATATTTTTAAATTTATGCTGTCCTTTTTGCCTTAACTCCAAAATTCAGTGAATGCATAAATGTGCTATCCATAAACAGTGTTGAAACATTCATCCTTATGGGTGTATGTAAGAAGTACCGCACATTTCATCAAAATTCGGTACCGAACTTTACAACATTCGAAAGAGGGTAGTTTTTGCTCTTTATGCTTTTTTGTCTCATTTGTTTTTGTATGCTTTTCAGATTTGGAATAAAGAGATTTGGTAATAATATTGCAAAAATGATTTTGCCGGCTTTGATGAAACCAGACATACACAAGTGAATAAATCAATTAGGTACAGAAGAGTGGAGCAGAATTAATCAGACATTTACAACTCCAAGTTTTTTATTTTTTCATTAATGATAT